CTACGATGACCTGGATGACTGAGAACCTTCACAGACATACCTACTGATTCCTTATCTCATACACATCTTGCACTGGAGCAGGTTATAGGGATGCAGCATCATTTTCCACGCCATGCATCGCTGCAGCAAGTGAACCAACATAAAAAATCCACCATTTTTAGTTTACAGGCTTCATTAACTTTTGGTTGGACTCTTTGAAATAACGTGAAAGCTGCACAGTTAATATTGTGACGGCTTTACTTCTGCTTTTGTCACTAACATCAAACAAAGAAAGAGCTGTTCCTGTGTTTTGCATACACCTGTGCACGTCGCTCGTTTGCATTCATTCAGTCTGAAAACCTGCAGAGACTCATCAGCGCAGTGCTCCATAGTGACCTGTAACATCTTCAGTGTTATAGAAACAGCACCAAGCTTCTGAAATGGGAGAGTCATCTGTTGGCTCATAAAACTCATTTACAGGAAATATGTTGGAAATAGGAACAGAGTTAGTTTGTCTTTTCATTGTCATATGGTGATAATGTCACCACCAAACTCAGTTATTACAGGAAGCAGATTTTTACTGCTGTTTCTCTTCTCCCAGCTCTTCACATGGCGTGCATTGGGCAGCACGCAGACGCAGCCAGGACGCTCCTGCAGCTCGGCCTCAAAGATTCTGAGGATGCGTCCGGCACAACCGCCAGGCAGCTGGCCAGGAAACCCCACGTAGTGCAAGTGTTTGAACGTGACCTGTAATCAATCCTTGAGACATTGAGTTCTTAATTTATTGAAATAAAGAAAAGCTGAAGCCTAATAGTGTGATTCAAGTTATTTTGCACAGATTGTGTGGATTACAATAAACACTGTCACCCTTGTGTTTGCTAAAAGACGCAGGTTTAGACACGATCATGCTAACAGCAATCTCACTTTACCTGATAAACTCTGCATCCTGCCAGGACAGTTCCTGGGAACGCTGACACAACACAAAAATGCAGCTTTCATCGTCAGCCACTACATTTGACACTGTTTGACAATCTGCTTGGCTGCCTGTTGTTTCTACTTAAATATGTTGGTCTTGGTGACTGTCTATATGAGCTCAAAGCAGCCCACACACCGATGTAGGACTTGGGACTTTTCTGTTTGCCAAACAGGTGTGTCATGCATATATGTTGTTGCAGCAGTTGAGCATGTTGCCCACGCTATGCTCAACAGGCAAAGTTGCAAATCACTAAAAAGTTCTGTAAATTTTTGCGACTGTGATGGAAACTATCACAAAGAAAATGAAGCCACAGCGTTTGTTTGCTGTAGTTTTTTTGTTCAGTTTCACACAAGCGAATGAAAAGACACAGTATGTGTGTCAAATGTCTGTAATGATTGGCAATCAATTGCTATAATTGACAAGTAAGGCATAAAACCAATGGATGCAGTCTTGCTAGAACCCTATGATTACAAGACAAAATAACAGCTACTATTAACTACTGGTGTAGAAACATGGACTATAATAAAGCCTAACTCAGTGGACCAGAAATACATATGTTATCCTTATTGTACTTTATGCTTAATGAGTGAGTCACATTTAAATATATTTGGCCGTATTGCGTTAAAACAGTTTATGAGATTGTTATTTAGCTGTGGATATGTCACACTACCTGCCGGCACTGGTAAGGTTTCCCACATCAACACAGTGTTTGGCCCGTATCTACTGTGTCGGGTTCTGGTCACCCTACCTGATCCCTGCCGGCTGTAATGCACAGGTGCAACACTGTGCTTTGTGAAGCAGTGCGTCCACACCATTGGCCCACACAGGTACCCGGTACGACGCTTCTTCACGCCTCTTCCTGCAGTGACTGACAGGCTGAGAAGCCCCGCCCCGAAGGCGCCTGACGCTGAGCCGCAGCCCCTTCTCACTTGTAGCCCCGCAGATCTCCATTTTCTTCTTTCCTCATATTCCGGAGCGGAAGAGCAAAGACTTTTGGAAAAAATGGATGAAGAATACGACGTTATCGTTCTGGGCACCGGGCTTACGGTGAGCGAGAAAAACATACAACGCGTGGGCGTGATTTGCAACCTGTTAACATCGCGGTTAACGCTGGAGAAGACGGGGCCTAATCAGCAGGGTTAATGCTAAGTAGCTAGCTTAGCCGCTAACCGAGCGTGAGCGTTTACGTGTTAAGCAATGGAAACTAAATGAAGACGCTAACCCCAACTACTAGCTCTGTGCTATCGGCAGCTGCTTTCAGTGTCTGAAAAAGATTAACGATAGCAACTGTTAACTCGCTCGAGATAAGTTGAAACGCTCAAACTGTTTTGTATCCTTAATAGGTATTGTAGTACCGCTTGAGTTTAATTAGCGCAGTTCATTGTCTGGATATGCAGAAACTGAGCGCCAATTAAGGCAGCTTTTCTCAGTCAAGATAAGATTAGACTACGGATGAGTAGTCTGTTAACGTTAGCTGACCTACATTAAGCTATTTTATTAGCCTGCTAACGACGGAGTACAGTCCTGTTGTAGCGGTGTCATCGAATGTATTCTTGGGGTCGGAACTGTCCCCACCGCCGCTCGCCTGCTGGAAGCAGTTCTACGGCTGTAGCTATGTTGAGCTCGTTGAAGTGTCCTTTCAGCGCTGTTCTGTGCGGCAGTACAACTACACTACAAACTGAACAGCACTATGAAGAAATCTCAGCAGATTCTCGTGTTTAATAAAACGAGGAGCTATTTGGCGTAGAGGCGCATTGGGACACGTTAATGTAACTGCAGTCGCAAACTTCACCAGCAGGTTGAAGTTATATATCCTGTCCGACTTTCAGTTCTCTTTTACACCCGCCGCCCCCCAAAGACTAACGTACCGAGTGGAGTGTGTGGGATTGGGGATGTGTAGGCTTTGTTTCAACGGACTCTCTTTGCTGGTCGTACTTTTAAATAAAACGATTCCCTCGGACAGACTTCCTGACTTCGTTGTTTAAACATGCCGGAAAACCAGTGGTTAGTTTGGGGCTTAATCACAAGCCAACTTGCTGCTTGTACCATTGTCGTCACCACCTTGTTGAGTCGCTGTACAGTGACGTGTTTTGACAGCAAGCATCGAGTTGCTTCAGCCCAGGACTTCATGCTGGGCAGCAGAGCAGGCGCACAGCGGGTTAACTTTGAGGACTGATACTGGGTGTGGTTCCAGCAAGGCTGAGGAACTGAAAGTACACTGCCAGAAGTCTGCCAGCCAGTTTAGTTAGAGCTGGTGGCCAACCACTCAGAACCACTGCAGACTTAAAGACTGAGGTGGCATAGTGTAGTTTCACACGGAAGTAGTTCAGTCTGCAAATAAATGACTTCACTTCTGTATTCTGCCACCTTCCCCTTCTCCTTTTCTGCTACAACACAGACAAAGGTGTTGCTATGTTTACTAACTGAGCAGGTTATGCAGGAATCTGTGCAAGCCCCGCCTCCAGGAAACTTCATCTGACTTTGTTTCCTGTCTCTGGGGCAGATGCTTGACTAGAAAGGGATAGCTGTGTTGTACATGGCAACAATTAGTCTTAAAACGTTTGTAAGTGCACGGTAACAGCTGTCACTGTGAAGTGCACTCTGTGCTCTAGGTCTTAAATGGAAATTGTTAGGCAGGCCTTCTTGGATTTTGGGAGGTTTATTATGCGGGGGGCAGGGGGACGGGGTTCCCCATCTGTCCACTACTGACGACACATTAGAGGAGTGGCTTGGCACAAGATGCCAAACTCTAAGTGTGGCCCGGTTCTCATTATGATGCTGGTAGTTGGAGTAAGCAGCTTTTAGACTCCAGCCAGGAGATGTGAGTAGGACAGCATTTAGTTATTGAGAAGTATAGAGATTGTTGTGACAGCTCTACAAGTTGATTGGCCCAATTAAGCCAGTGACAGTGTTTCTATCAATGGATGAATTGATGCTCACCAATTTGTGGGTTTTCTTACAGTTTATAGTTTGACATTAAAACCCTTCATCAAACCAGCAGTCCTGATAGTTTAAACATAAGTGTGTTATCATCTGAGATGGTGATAAAGGATGGAGAATCTAGACTACGGATGACTAAAAGGCGCTTTGTTGAAAAGACTGAGGCATAATAATGATAATAAATGTTATTTAAAAGCACCCAAGGACACTTAACAATGGAGTAAAACACATAGAACAACGACAACCACGAACAGTAAAAGCAAAAAGCACAAGATAAAATAAACAATTAGTTTACAGTGAATATGCAGATTTGAACAGATGGGCATAAAAAGTTAGGCATGTTTTTCCTTCGATTCACTCGAGCTGTCCCTGGCTGCTCTCTGGCTCAGTGGGTGGGGCTCAGGCATCTCCTCCTCACAAAGCAAACCACGTGTTACCTGAGGCTAAAATGTGTGCGTGTTTTTATGTCTTTTTCTTCCCAATGAGTGAATAACTGAAAAA